GTATTGGATGCCTGTGGTCTTCAGGTGGGTTCAGACTTCCACAGATTATTCTCTGTAAACACAGTTTACACATGTTAGTTGAAGCTCTATCGTATAAAAAATAAACCACATAAGAACACCATTCAGAAACACTGCCGTACTCTCTGGACCAAAGATAATTTTAAATGGAGTGAGGTAAAGTTTAAAACTGTTCTGTGAGCAGATGAAACAAATTATAGATGTCATGTCCTCCATACTAAAGGAGAGAGAAACTATTGTTATTATCAGCATCAACGTTAAAAAGCCCCCCTCTCTAATCTCTAAAACATGTTTTAGCACAACACATGCTACCATCCAGGTGACATCTTTTTCAGGAAAGGCCTCTGTTGCAGAGTGGAGATCATGACATGCTGCAGGAAGGAGCTTCTCCTTCAGCTGTGGGCTGCACACAGGTGCAGCAGGTGCTAAATAATTTTAAATAATTTATTTTAAATTTAAAAAGTCATGCAGATCGTGCGGCTCATCCATCAATCAGCCAATTGTGTGTCATGTCCAATCTTATTTTGAAAAACTGTGATAGAGCGAGTTCACGAAAAACCAGTGATGGATAAAGTACTCAAACACTGTACTTAAGTAAAAGCACAAATAAACACACAAAAAATGTGCTCTAGTAAAAGTAGAAGTACCACATGAATGTTTTTACTTAATTTAAAGTAAGTACTTGCTTTTAAACATACTAAAAGTAAAAGTACTTGCTGAATGTATTACCCAATGCAATGGTCTACAATATCATTAAGTGTGCCTACTGTATGTGTATTTTCTGTAATACATTAATAGTGTTGTGTCATTTTAATGAACAATGCTGCAGATAATACATGTTTTTATTGTGTTTACTCTGTGACACAGTTCACACTTGGACTTGTGATTCTGTGCATCAGAATTTCAGGGATGGCCTGCAGAGTTAAATGTCCATCCATCCATTAACTTTTTACCTGCTTCTTCCACTTTGGGTCACGGGGGTTCGCCGGTGCCCATGTCCAGCAATCACTGTGCTAGGGATACATCCTGGACAGGTTGCAAGTCCATCACAGGGACACATAGAGACAAACAATCATTCACTCTCTCATTCACACCTAGGGACAATTTAGAGTTACCAATCAGCCTAACATTTTAGTCTGTGGGAGGAAACCGGAGTACCCGGAGAAAACCCACGCATGCACGGAGAGAACATGCAAACTCTACCCAGAAAGACCCCCGGACCGGGATTTGAACCAACAAACTTCTTGCTGAGAAGCAGCAGCTCTACCAGTTGCGCCACCGTGCTGCCCAGAGTTAAATGTCATTAAGCAAAATAATAAAGAGGAATGATTATAGCTTTGAAAGTTTTTATTTAACACAAAGCAAAACCAATGTGTCATTTTAACTGCAGTAAACACATTTAAGTAAAAGTTGTCTGCCTGAACAAAAGGAGCATTAGACCTAACAAAGGAACAGACACTGATTAGTTCAACTCCAGTTTGTCATCAACTCTAGTTAAAATACTGTCTAGTCGACCTTATAATGGTCAATAGTGAATAATATTTTAACTTTCTGACACCATTTTCAAAACTTGGACCTGAGTGTCGAGACATTTGGAGACATCTCTTGTCTCCTGTCCTAACATCATGAATTGACACATTTTAATATTGCAGCAAGAATTTCTTGTTCAAGTTCAGAAGAAGTTGGTTTTCAGTTTTGGAGTCCAGTCTGGCTCTTTTAGGAGAGAGAATCTGTCCAGCTCTACTGAATAGTCTTTCAATAATATTTTAATAATCTTTCAATAAGGCCATGGGTGATGTGTATCTTCTGGCTGACTCTCTACAGTGGAATCCATTTTGGGTATGTTAGCGTTGCTGCAGGTGTGCCCAGCTCATTGATGTATATACTGGAATATATGTCATTAGCCCAGCTCTTCTTGAAGGAGGATCTAATGTTACCTGCCCACTTTGCAGTGATTCAATGGACCAAGTGTAGTAGAACGTACAGATACTTAATGTAAAATGTAGTGGAGTAAAAGTTGAAAGTACCAATGTTTAACTCTACTTAAGTAAAGTACAGATACATGAAAATGGACTTAAGTACAGTAACGAAGTACTTGTACTTTGTTACATCTCACCACTGAGAAAAACGAACTGCCAAGTAACGAGGGACTACTGTATTTGAAATTTGAAGAGGCATGTTCCCACAGAGTAGAGCCACTGCTCCTCCCCATCGAGAGGAGCCAGCTGAGGTGGTTCAGGCATCTGGTAAGGATGCCTTCTGGACACCTCCCTAGGGAGGTTTTTTGGGCATGTCCAACTGGGAGGAAACCCCGGGGAAGACCCAGGGCACTCTGGGGCGACTATGTCTCTCGGTTGACCTGGGAACACCTTGGAGTCCTCCCAGAAGAGCTGGAAGAGGTGGCTGTGAAAGAGATGACCTCCCTGCTCAAGCTGCTGCCCTCGAGACCTGACTTCGGAACAAGCAGAAGATGATGGATGCTGTCAAGATGTCAAGATGCATGGATGTTCCCACAGACCAAAACAATAGATTCATTGGTAACTCTAAACCGTCCCCAGGTGTGAATGAGAGTGTGAATGCTTGTTTGTGTCTCTGTGTGATGGACGTGTAACCTGTCCAGGGTGTTCCTCATCTCTCGCACAGTGACTTCTGGACATAGGCACCAGCGACTTCCGAGAACTGGAAAGGAAGAAGTGAGTAAAGATGATGGATGGACGAACGTTATCATTAGGAAGGGGGGGGGGGGGGATTTCCTTTGGAAGTTTGGTATTTCAACACAACAGTTCATGACTTTACCCTGTGGCGTTTTTACCAGCAAGTTTTCATAAATGCAGAGTTTGTGTGCATGACTGGCCGTTTATGGTCCTGATCTGTGTTTTAAATAAAATCTTAATGAAGATGAGAAGCAGACAGAAACAATCACAGGCTGATGAACAGCTGAAACATATTCAGCTACAATAAACGGATTTCTAAAAGTGCACAAAGAAAGTGTGTAGATATAAAGGAGGACATAATGTAACTATTTAGTCATGAAGTGATTTGCACAGACACGGTACTCTGCTGAATGTCACATTCAGCTCAGATGTGCATGTGAGTGTTTTCCACGTTGTCTCTGCAGCTACACGTGAGCATAAGCAGCCGCTGCCCTCAGACATCGCAGTCATCATGTACACCAGTGGATCCACAGGTGTCCCCAAAGGCGTCATGATCTCCCATGCCAACATCATCGCCAGCATTTCAGGGATAGCTGAGAAGATACCCAACCTTTGGTAAATCTCTGTGTGTGTGAGAGAGCTACAGTTTAATACTTCTTCAGTTAATCCTAAACTCTACTTTTTGAAAAAATATATATTTAACCTTATAATCTACCCTCACATTTATAATGATCTCATCTTACTGTTGTACATGTAAAACTGTCAGATTTTGCCCTGAAAAGATTTGTTCAGTTTATCCTGATGCATGCTCAATAATCCAGGTAGAAAATCTAACAAAGTTAAGTCAGGTCCTCTGGACAGATTCTTATTTGTTGAAACATTTCATCTTATCATCTTCAGTCTGAGGAGCTGCAACAAACTCAGTCTTATAAACAGCACCTTCTCAGTGGAGCAACGAGTTTGTTGGTAACATCAAGAACTAGCTGTTCACATGATCAAGAAGGACCATCAGCCTAGCAACTGATCATCAGCACCCTGATGGCTGTTTGCTATTCACAGGAGGCTGAGTGATACTAGCAATAACAGCATTGTAAGAGGGGGACAGTTGAACACGGAGGCCCCTGTTTAATGATGCATGGTTTCTTTTCACAAAGATGGCCTCCTTTACTCCTCTCTCAAACCATCGTTCCTCTCTATCCAGAATGTGAACATCTTCATCCCTGAAAGAGTGACCGCTGGCCTGGAGATGAGTGTAGACCGCAGAGTCCTGGCCTGATGTTGATCTTCTATGCTGGGCCATCCTTTTGGCCAGTGGCTCTTTAGTTTCCCCGATGTAAGACTGATCACAGCCCTCCTGACACTGAACAGCATACACAATATTACTCTGTTTGTGCCGAGGGACTGGATCTTTGGGATGAACCAGTCTTTGCCGTAATGTATTTTGGGGTTTAAAAGCCACTGGGACGTTGTGTTTAGAAAATAAATGTCTCCGTTTCTCTTTACTCCCGCAACATACGAAATGACCACTGGTCTGGGTCTGGGTTCCTCCTTTTCACCTGATGGCTGACTGGAGTCCTGTTTGGGTTTCTTCTCTGCTTTCAGGAAGGCCCAGTTAGGATATCCACATTGATCCAGGGTCTGTATTCTGTGAGTCTGTATTCTGTGGAATTTCTTCTTCTGCCTGGCTTTTGAGTTAGTGGAGACACTGTCTGATCATACAGAGTCCTGATGACTCCTAACTAGGCCTGTCATGGTAACAAATTTGGCTGGGCGATTAATTTTCTCAGAAATTATTGCGATAAACAATAATATTGTTTGAAATTTGACAATGATTAGCAATTACTGTCAAATTTAAGAAGAAATGTTGGTTAATTTGTTCTCCATGTAGTACTTTTTTTGACCACCGGATAGCAATATAAGACTGTTTGAATCGAAGGATGGATAGTGAAGAAGAGCAGTGTGCCTCTTTAGGACGAATGGGAGGGAGGCCCCTTGACGTGACATGGGCTGTCTCTCCTTCCTTTTATTCAGTTCTCAAAATGGCGGACACTCAGTGTGGTTTGAGCTCTTTAGCATAGCATTTTTAATACAAAGCTTTTAATAAAAAATCAGTAAACAAGTTCTCAGCTTCTTTTTGCAGAGAAAAACAACTTTTTACATGAAGGCACAGGTTTCCACCATGAATTTTGGAGCTTAACAAGACGGAGGTTTTTCCAGAGGTCGGCCTGTTGGCTTAGCTTGTAGCTTAGCTTCTCAGCTTAGCTGCTTTTAAAAATGTGATTTTAGATGGTTCAAACAGAATTTAAAGAGAAAAGAGAAAGGGAGAGGTCAGTGAAGAGCACCGGAGTTGAACCTTTTGTCATCCAGTGTCTTCAGTAGAAAGAGAGACACAAATAAACGATAAAGCTGATAAATGAAAATGGGGTTGATAATTTTCCTTTATCATGTGATTAATTGATTTGACTTCTTTGATGAAATTTTTTGGATAAAAGACAAAATGTTTCAACCGTCCAGAGGACTTAACTTGGTTAGATTTGTTCAGCTTGTCTGGGAATGTAGCTGTTTTGTAAATTATTTGTAGCTGCTTAATTTAAATCAAATCTGGGTCATTAATGGAGATGATCTCATTTAGTGAGACATGCAACTGAATTGTTGCAACCCTTCTCCCTGGAGACTAATAGGAGTTGAGAGGAAATGTACTCAGGGCGAAGGTTAGTATGAGTGGAGGAAATCTTTGGGAGGAAGGGCTGAGGAGGATGTAGATTACAGAGTTTACAGTACTGATGATCTGTATCTGACTTAAGGAAATTATGGTTTTTGTTTTGTATATGATAAGATGACAGCATAGCCCCAAACAAGGTTACTATTTGGAAGTGATACTGTTTGTGTTTTATAGGACATTTTCACTTCAGATAATTTTTCTTTGATTCATGATCAAAGAAACAGACATTGTTTATTTTAGGTGTAAACCCATTCTATAAACATCCATAATCAACTGTAAAATCAACCATAAAATCCCCTTTTCAAGCTTGTAAGAACTCTCACAGCCATTCTGTACTTCCCATCAGAGTGGCTTTTTTGACACAGTCTCTGTTTACAGCGAGGACGATACGTACATCGGCTACCTCCCTCTTGCTCATGTGCTCGAGCTTTGTGCTGAACTTCTGTGTATTTCTCATGGCTGTAGAATTGGCTACTCCTCACCTCAAACTCTTGCTGACCAGGTAAATGTAACTTGAATCACACTGATTTACTCAAACATAGAAAATCTGCTGAAAGTATCATTAAAAAGGAGTTTTGTTCCTTAGGTTTGGAAGATGCAGCCATTCTCGTTTTGTTATAGAGTAGAAGACTGACCCACTGTGATCAGTAATCACATACAGTGCTTTGAAAACATCTTTGTGCACCTTGAACTTTTCACCTTTTGGCATATTACAACCACAAATTTTTAAGTATTTCGCTCAGATTTCATGTGATTGTCTAATACAAAATACAGTAGTCCCTCGTTTATCACGGGGGATCCGTGCCCTGAAGTCCTGCGATAAGTGAAAAACTGTTTAGTGGGAATAATAGTACAAGTAGAAAGTAGTAGTTTATTTTTGCATATATAAAGGCGTTTTAAACCCTTCCCGCACTCTTGTAATATTCTAAACAATGCTTCTAAACTCTAAACACTCTAAAAGAGTGCAGAATGTCATGATTTCAGCTCTCTGCCTCAGGCTGCACTCTTGGCCACGCCCACTTCTCCGCTCTGCATGATCAGCTGATCAGCTGAGGGAGGAAGCTTCTCCCACAGGTGTGGGCTGCACAAAGGTGCTAAATCATTAAAAAATAAATAAATAAATAAATAAATAAATAAATAAAAATCCATGCTGATCATGCATCTCATCCATCAATCAGCCATTGTGTGTCATGTCCAATCTTACTTTGAAAAAACGCGATAGAGCAAGTCCGTGACAAACAACTGCGAAGTAGCGAGGGACTACTGTAGTGCATAATTGTGAACTGGGAGAAAAAATATTTGTGGGTTTCAAAAATTCTCATACAAAAAAGAAAACTACTACAAAGTGTGCAGCTTGACATTTTGGTGGGTTGGTCACTTTGCATATTTAGAGACAGAAATTTGTGTCTGTTCTTTTTTGCAAAATACCTGCAGTTCAGTCAGTCCTATGAAGATAAATCAGTCTCAAAAGTATTCACAGAAGTGTACAACAAGATTTGTATCCATTACAATAAGCGTACTTGCCTGCCTGTGAATGTGACTTTTGAAACTTTCTTCAATCTCCATATTCAGTAACGTAATGCTGCATTCAGGCTGGTGAAAAGCTTTTAACATATGGGCCCTAAACAACATATTTCTGACTTGGCGCAGTAGCTCCTAACCCAAATACAGTAACATAGGTGTTGTATCAATTAGATGTGATGGGGATGTGTCCACCTCATATTTAAAAATTATTTGTTTGGACCCCACACACACACACACACATTTACCATGAAATATTAGTTCACCCAGCGCTGTTTCTATTGCTATGTAAACAAATCCATTCCACTTGATTAATAGGAGAATACTCAAACAACTAAAAGTCCACTCCGGGTTTTCCTGGTTACTTACACCAGAATGCAGGAAATGACATCAACGTTATTCAAAATTTTATGGGGGAGGACCCCCCCACACACATGCACAGTGTGTCCCCCCTTCACATTACAAATGCTTCTGATGCCATTGTACAGTAGGTCTATACTTTGATTAATAAGCTTGGATCTGAACCATTCCATTGTAGCTCTGACTACCAGGTCCACCCAAGCCGGCTGAATACAAATGCACGCTACACTTTACTGATTTTTAGTTGTCACATACATTGAAAATAATAATTTTTCTTCCACTTCACAATTTTGCTTTATGTTAGTCTGTCACATAAAATCCCAGTAAAATAATTTGCAGTTTGTGGATGTAATGTGAGAAAATGGGAAAAAGTTAAGGGGTATGACAACTTTTTCAAAGTACCGTATAATTGGAACTGCTGAACACAGACAGTAGTACCTACTGTGGCATTATTAAAGCTGAAAAAGTCCACCCACCAGCTCATCTAAAGCTTATTAAAATGTTTGAAGAATTTATATGGTATGTGACATGAAAGTCTTAAATAAACCTTAACTTTTATTTTTAATGGGTGAGTTTTAGGAGAACTGGATGATGAGTTGTTACTTAGTAACAAAAGAGACTGGGATGCTGCTTTCTCCTGTTCTAGTCTTTATTCTTATCTCAGTCTGTAGGCTTCAATTTCACTATTTTTTATAAATAAAAAGTTATTATTTTTTAAGGGATAGCTTAGGATACCCAAGCCAACCCTAACTATAGGATTCATCAAAATTAAACGTCTTAAGCCTAGTCATAAAAGTAGACAATGTGTCAGCCTCATGGACAGAAACTGGAAGTTTGGCTCCATGAGAGGAGCCTGATAACTGAAAGCTCTGCCTCCCATTTTACTTCTAGAAACTCTAGGAACCACAAGTAAACCTGCAGTCTGAGAGCAAAGAAAATATGAAACAATAGGATCTTTAATATAAGATGAAGCTTGGTTGTTGAGATCTTTGGATGTTAGAAACCCTAACTCTAAGATCAGAACTTTAGCAGCAGCATTTTGAATCAAATTAAGACTTTTTAAAGGGTTTATTGAACATCCAGATAATAAAGAATTATAGTAGTCCAGCCTAGAAGTGATAAATGCATGGACCAGTTTTTCTGCATCATTTTCAGGCAAGATGTTTCTAATTCTAGTGGTACTGCACAAAATCCCATTGATTGTTGTGACTTTGCTTTTTTTCTTCTCACAGTCATCCAAGATTAAGAAAGGAAGCCGGGGAGATGCCAGTGCCCTGCAGCCCACCCTGATGGCAGCAGTCCCGGTTTGTCTTGAGTACACTCACTACAGAAACTTTGTTCAGCCTCATGTATGAGAAGGCTATGTTTGCAGTTTCTTCCCCCAAGCCACGCTCCACTTCTTCCCTTTAAGCTTTTAGTCACCAAGGAGATCAGATTTCATAGATTTCATTTCTAAATCCAGCATCATGTTAGCTCAGTTGGTAGAACGTAGAGCTGTTGCCTTCTAGCAAGAAAGTCACCGGATCAAATCCCAGCCGAGGAGCTTTCTGGGTGGGGTTTGCATGCTCTCTCCGTGCTGCGTAGGTTTTTCCGTGTACTCTGGTTTCCTCCCACAGAGCAAAAACATGCATGTTAGGCTGATTGGTAACTAAATTGTCTGTAGGTGTGAGTGAGAGAGTGAATGATTGTTTGTCTCGTTTGTCTCTATGTGTCCCTGTGATCGATTGGAGACCGATCACTCGGACGGAGGACATGGAGGTAGTTGGAGTGAGGACAAAGGACATGGAGGTAGTTTGGAGTGAGGACGGAGGACATGGAGGTAGTTGGAGTGAGGACAGAGGACATGGATGTAGTTGGAGTGAGAGGTGTCCTCCACCTCTCACACAGTGACTGCTGGGTATATGCTGGTGAAGATTCTCAGTCATCCAGGACATGATGAATTCAAAAAACGTTCAATACAAAATCAACTGGACTTTATTTGTAACAGAAGACGTTTCACTCCTCATGCGAGGAGCATTCTCAATTCAAAGAGCTGTGAAGTGAGGGATTCAGGTTATAAAGCTGACTGAGATAAGACACACACACACATATGTAGATTAGCAATTCACACCTAAACACCTTAACAGTAAGAGTCTTTTGTTACTCTAATTCACAGACGAGGCCCCTCTGTTCCTATCAAGTGTGAAAACCGGCTGGGAATCTGTCTTAAAGTTGCATTATATGTTTTAGAAAGTGGAAATCTGAGGCCTCCTCCTCTGTTAAAAGATGGCTTTTCTCGTTTTACATAAATTGCTTCCTTCACCCCCCTCTCAAACCATCTGTGTTCTCGGTCTAAAATGTGAACATTTTGGTCCTCAAAAGAGTGTCCCTTCTCTGTGAGGTGGAGTTGAACAGCAGAATATTGTCCTGAGGAAGTAGCTCTCCTGTGTTGAGCCATGCGTCTGTGAAGAGGCTGTTTAGTTTCTCCAATGTAGAGGTCTGGACAGTCCTCGCTGCACTGGACCGCATACACTACACCACTCTGTGTATGGGTGTTTTGTCTTTAGGGTGGACCAACCTCTGTCTGAGAGTCCTGCTGGGTTTGAAATGTACTGGGATGTTGTGTTTGTTGAAAATCCTTCTGAATTTCTCTGATACTCCAGCAACATAAGGGATGACAATGTTTTTCCATCTGTTGTTTTCCTTTTTCTGTTTATTGGTGTGTTTTGTAGATTTCCTTGCTGACTTGACAAAAGCCCAGTTTGGATATCCACATGTTTGGAGAGCTTCTTGGATGTGTTTCTGTTCCTTTTCCTTCCCTTTTGTCTTTGTGGGGACGTGTTCGGCCCAATGTTGTAAAGTTCTGATAACAGAGAGTTTGTGTTCCAGTGGATGGTGGGAGTCAAACAGAAGATACTGGTCTGTGTGGGTTGGTTTTCTGTAAACTTCAATGTTTAGACTGTCCTCTCTTTCCATCTGAATCAAACAGTCCAAAAAAGGCAGCTCGTTGTCGTTTGCATCTTCTCTGGTGACCTTGATGTTGTTATCGACCGAGTTAATGTGTCTGGTGAACGCTTCTATTTCCTTAGCTTGGATTTTGACCCAGGTGTCATCCACATAACGGAACCAATGGCTTGGCATTGTTCCCTCAAACGAGTTTAGGGCTCTCTGTTCCACTTCCTCCATGTAGAGATTGGCAACAATGGGTGACACTGGAGATCCCATGGCACAGCCGTGCTTCTGTCTGTAAAAACTGTCATTGAACTTGAAATAAGTGGTGGAGAGGCAGAGATCCAACAGGGTGCAGATCTGGTCTGGGGTGAAGTTGGTCCTGTTGATTAAGTCCTTGTCTTGTAGAAGTTGTTTTCTGACGGTTTCTACTGCTTCAGAGATGGGTATGCAAGTGAAAAGAGAAGTCACATCATACGATACAAGGGTTTCTCCTGGGGTTAGTTTCAAATGTGTGTTGTTCAAATGTGTTAGCAAAATCAATGGAGTTCTTTATGTGATGAGGTGTGTTTCCAACAAGAGGAGCTAAAATACCAGCCAGATGTTTAGCAATATTGTATGTCACTGAGTTCATGCTGCTGACGATGGGTCTGAGTGGAGTTCCTTCTTTATGTATTTTGGAAGTCCATAAAGACAGGGAGTGGCTTCCCCTGGGTACAATCTATAATACAACGATCGATTGATTGTTTTCTCCTTTTCAAGTTTTTGCTGGTAATCTGTGACTTTCTTTTTATAGGTGCTGGTTGGGTCCCTCTTCAGGGTCTCGTAGGTGTTACTGTCACTCAGTAGTGTAGTTATTTTTTCCCGGTAGTCAGAAGTGTTGAGGACTACTGTGCATCCTCCTTTATCAGCTGGTAAAATGGTGATGTTTTGGTCCTGGCTGAGTGATGTTATAGGTTTCCTTTCCTGTGGTGTGAGGTTTGAAGGAGGCGGTTTGGCACTGGAGAGGGTTGCTGATATTTTCATTCTGAGCTGTTCTGACTCTCCTTCTGTCAAGTTGTTGTTCCTAATCGCAGATTCAGTAGCCGTGATTAGTTCCACAACAGGTATTTCTTGAGGGGAGATGGCAAATTTAGTTCTTTTGCCAGCACATCTTTCTCAGGTTGTGTCAATGTCCTGTTAGACAAATTTCTAGCCCACTGGTCATGAAAATTAGTGTTGGAGACAACCTCCTGATCTTGACTGATGGTTTGTGATGAGAAAACAGCTCTCTCTTGTAATTTTAGAAACTTGCTTTTTTGACGTTCCTTGCTCTTTTGATGCTGTGTGAAAGCTGGGCCTTTTCAATGAAACAAGAAACTTCTTCCAACAGAGGAAATGGTAGCAGAGTAGACAGCTTCTGGAGGGTTTGATCCATTTTGAGTGAGAGAGCTTCAATGGTGAAGTGGATCTGTCTTATTCTCTCACTGAGCAGCTTGTTTTGAGCTTTCACGAGTATTTCTTCTGCTCTGTGTCCTTTAATTGTGGAGTTGAATTTCAAACTGCTGGGGGTGAGTTTTTCTTGTCTGCATCTCAGACTGAAGCGAAGATGGTTCCTGTAGTCTGCAAACTTCCTTGACATCTTCTCAAACTCCCGCACTGCTCCTAGGGTATCCTTCCCAAAATGTTTAGCAATATGCTGGTGAAGATTCTCAGTCTGCTGGGTATAGACATCAGTGACACTTGTGACCCAAAAAGGAAGAAGCAAGTAAAGATAATGGATGGATGTTCCTAAACACAACAAGGAATAACAGAGACAGAGTCCAGCAGGTGGTTCAGTTGAGGAGGTTCGGGCATCTGATAAGGATGTCCCCTTGGTGACTCCCTAGGGAGGTGCTACCAGCGATTGGGCCTGCTGTTCTAACAATACTAAACAGTAGTATTGCTACAAGCGTGGTCCCAGAGGCGTTCAAACATGCAGTAGTCACACCGTTAATTAAGAAACCTGGTCTTGACCCTTCAGCCTGCTCAAATTACAGACCAATCTCAAAACTCTCCTTTCTGTCCAAAATCCTGGAAAAAGTCGTTTTTACTCAGTTAAATCAGTTTTTAACTGAGAACAAAATCTTTGAGGTCTTTCAGTCTGGTTTCAAGCAGCTCCACAGCACCGAAACAGCTTTGGTTAGGGTTTGTAATGACATTTTAACAGCAAATGATTCTGGTCATGGCAGCACGGTGGCGCAACTGGTAGAGCTGCTGCCTCTCAGCGAGCAGGTCCCTGGTTCAAATCCCGGTCCGGGGCCCTTTCTGGGTGGAGTTTGCATGTTCTCTCCGTGCATGCGTGGGTTTTCTCCGGGTACTCCGGTTTCCTCCCACAGACCAAAAACATGCATGTTAGGCTGATTGGTAACTCTAAATTGTCCCTAGGTGTGAGTGAGAGAGTGAATGGTTGTTTGTCTCTTTTGTCTCTATGTGGCCCTGTGATGGACTTGCGACCTGTCCAGGGTGTACCCCGCCCCTCACACAGTGATTGCTGGACATGGGCACCAGCGACCTCCGTGACCCAAAATGGAATAAACGGGTAAAGAAAATGGATGGATGGATGGATGGATTCTGGTCATTTTGTGGCTCTTGTACTCCT